TGGCCTGGATGATTACGGCCACAATTTGCACACTGTGGGAATTTCATCTGTTTATTTTGGTGTCCCTGATGGTGACCAGCTCCTTTTCCATCATTGCCCGTGAAGTTTCTCTTCTTGTTACTCTTCGAATTGTTCATGTGTCGTTGTGACTGATCTGTGACTGCGAAGGCACAGGCTGCGGCTGAGCGGGTACCGGACCGCTAGAGATGTAGTACTCCTTTTGAGTTGCTATAAAAACACAGTCAGCTAGTGTAGCTGGAGTCTGATTGCCATTCTCCAAGTGAACTGCTATATCCTTCCTAAGAGCTGCCAGGAACATCCTCACCTTATCTCTTTCCGCCGGGGCAGCTGTAGGACAAATACGTAGCAGTCTCTGAAATTTTGCCGCCAAGGTTGTAACATCCATGGTTCCCTGGCGTAGACTCTGAAGCTCATCCCGGTACCTACGTGTGACACTAGCGTTGAAATACTGGTTGGTGAACTCCTCTTTGAACTGCTCCCATGTCATCTGCGTGATGTTGTACCTTGTTTCCACAGTCTCCCACGATATTCGAGCATCCATGGTGAGGCTGTAAGATGCACATCGAACCTTGTCATTATCTGCTAGTTCCAACCCATTAGCAATGCCTTCCACGGTCTTCAGCCATCCCTGAGCAGCTAGAGGGTCTGGACCCCCCTCGAAATCCGCGGGCTTGATCTTCCTCCATGTGATCATCAAAGGTTCTTGTCTCGGTGCTCCGTGCCCCCTAGCATGATTATTTCCAGCATTTCCCCCTTCACCGCCGCCCCTTTGATTGTTCGCGGTCAAACGGTCGATGGTTTGTTGCTGCTCCTGCAATTGCCTCTGAAGTTGCGCTACTAATCCTGCCAGATCCTGCTCGTGATTGTTTCCTTGCTCATTGTTGCTACCAACTGGACGACCACGGGTTCTCCTCATTTTCTTAAGGCACCTAAATATAATTTTTATTTATGTGCCATACACAATACAAAAGGCAAAACATTCTCACTTCTGTTCTCTATCTAATAAAACTCTTCTTGTTCAACATCATTAAATTTTAGGAAGAATCAAAATTAGAGGCGTGAACAATTTAGACTTACCAGTTTTAAGATGAAAGCAAATTGTAGTGCTGGATGCTTCGTCCGAAGGTTCAAAGAAGAGAAGATTGTCGGGAGGCTAGGGGAAGAAAAATGGACGGCTCTTTAGAGCTAAGGGTTTCTACGATGATATATATATCCTTAGGGATTTAGTTTAAAGGAGACTTATTTGGGCTAAGATTGATTTGGGCTCCTAATATTCTCTAAAAAAAATCCAACATTAAAGTATTTTCTATTTCAATATAAACTGATTAAGCTTTAAAACATTACTTATTTCTTCACTTAATATTATTAGAGCTTTACCGGTCAACGTTACCTGCCAGAACAACACGTGATCAAACAATAAATCACATTAGTCATAGAAGAAACTTATTTAATTGACTAAAATAAATATTAATATTGATTAATATAACTAGCTCAAAAAAATCGGGGTGTTACATTATGTCAGCCCGTAACTGTAACACCTCGACCCCGTAAGCCCCGAGGTAGTTACTCTTGGCCTCTAGTATTGTCCTCACAAACCACCACTAGCCTTTTCCGCGCACTTTGTCCTCACTCGTGCGTGCCCTGAGAAACTTCTCAGGGGGTCACCCATCCCAAGACTACTCTCGTGCAAGCACGCTTAACTTTGGAGTTCTTGGGTGATGAGCTCCCTTAAAAGGAGATGCAATTCTGTTGGTATGAGTAGTACTATTAATCCATTTAAATTAAATCTCAAGTGTTACAATCACCCCCACTTAGGAACGCAACGTCCTCGTTGAACCCATCAACCAATCTCAATCAAATCCCAGAATCTTTCCCCCCGCTAAGTGCCTGCCTGATATCCAATGGATCAGCACATTGTCGCAGGGTTGCTCTGATACCACCTGTAACACCCCGGCCCCGTAGGCCCCGAGGTAGTTACTCCAGACCTGTAGTACTGTCCTCACAAACTGCCACTAGCCTTTTCCGCGCACTTTGTCCTCACTCGTGCGCGCCCTGAGAAACTTCCCAGGGGGTCACCCATCCCAAGACTACTCCCGTGCAAGCACACTTAACTTTGGAATTCTTGGGTGATGAGCTCCCTTAAAAGGAGATGCACCTCTGTTGGTATGAGTAGTACTATTAATCCATTTAAATTAAATCTCAAGTGTTACAGTAACCATGGTCCATAAGGCTTCTCTCCAATCCAAGGACTAAGTGCAACATAAGAAACAGAAATTTGGAAGTCTCTCGTATCGGAAATCCACCCATATCCATTTATTCCCTTCATGTCTTACACTCTTACCTACAAACGCCTGGTCAAAGTCATATTGATATTAATAATAACTCTAATATGCAAACCATTTTTTGTTTCCCGCCAAGAGAGCGGTTGTCCAGTTAAACAAAAGACCCAATGCTATTGCCAATCCCACGAGTTACCCCTTCCGTCATGTACCCTAATGGTAAATTGTGCACCTGGACTAAAAAATCAGCATGATCCATCGGGACTTCGAGGGGTATGTCAGTGCACCCACACGCCGAATCACCATTAGGTTTTGTTCAAGGGACCAAGGTCTTTCCTCAATGACACGGCTAAGATCTTCTTCATGGTAAAATTATAGAAGAAACTTGGATTCATCAATCTCATTGATAGAGACTCCCTGAACTTGTCGCCGGATCATGGTCATTGTTTGACGGAAAGAAGTAGCATGGACAGGTTTATTCGAGACCACTCTAACCACAGTCGAGAGACAAACTCTCTCATCAGTCTCGCCAATACTCCTAGTCGGGTATGCTTCGAGCACCAAACCCTTATTTTCTTCCTCAGCTATAAAGATCATATTATAATTCTTGACAATCAAATCCATGATGAAGTACAATGAGATCAAATACCCACTCACAGACACCAGATCCACGGCCAAATTGCATAGAATACGAATAAACACAAACAAACGATTAAAACTTCCTCAAGCACGACCAAACAAAAATGAATTGTAATCAAACATGAAGCAGAAACTCGGTCAACGTATAGTGCTGGAATAGAAAACCGGGAGGCAAGCCCGTAACCAAAACCCACTTGATGCTCAGTCAAAACCAAAGCAGAAAAACGAAAAGCGAGGAAAAAAAGTTGTCATCGTCACTAAGCTTTCACAGAAAAATGAGAACTAAGAATGAAGCCTTCTTCTCCCTTGTCGGAACGACCTCTCGAACGCAAGCAGCCCCCCCTGAGCCGTGAAGGACGCCACGATCAGCCTCCTAGCCACCACATCACACATTTAGGCTTTCGATCACGTTCTTCCCATTCTTTCTACTTGTTCTTATGTTACTCATAAATGAAGACTTTTAAATTGGGGTTTTTAAATAATAAAGATTTATTTATACATGGTATAATGTTTATCACCCCGCAGAAAATGCTTATAAAGAAACACAACATGTCGGTGGGCGTAGCGCAATTTGTATGTAGAAAGTGTTACAAGCTATAAGTTTCAAGTTTTAATCATTACAACTGCGATGAGACATTGTTATGTAAAAATACATAAAGTCTCTTCAAGTATGTGAGCAGAGTTACACTCATACTCCCTCCGCTCCAAATTGTTTTGCAAAGTCAACATTTTTTTGTCAACCAATAAAAAAAGTCAATGCTCCCTATCAATAATTAATTTCATTTTTAATAATTAAAATTTATATATTCAGAAACTATATTAAAATATCTTCAAAGTTGTAAACTCCAAATTAGAATATTATTAAAAATTGACATACTAATTAAACAAATAAAATGAAACTGTTTGAGCAAGAAAAGTCAAGTTTGCAAATCAATTTGGGAGGGAAGTATCTATTAACTATTCGACTCGTGCTCGAACACTTCAAATATGAAATGTCATCATTTTTTAGGTGTTGTCTAACTAAATACGTATGAACTGATTTATTGAGGGAGGGGTTGCCCTTCGCAAATTATACCGTGGGTCGGTGCATCAAGAGGATGGTGCACCCATCCCAAAATGACATGGTATTACTCGGTATTAATTAGAAAAGCAACTGTGTAGCCATTGTTATTAGGCCAGATTAAAGAGACTGCGTGTGTTCCGTCTTGAGAGAGAGCATCGGAAGTTGGCCATGACACTCGCCGGCGAGGAAGTAAAGGCGGTACAACTATTCATCCTCAAGGCGGCGGCACGGCAGCGGTGGCGCTCAGCCTTGATGGCTAATTTGAAGCGTCAATCTTGTCCCGACAGTCTATCGAAGCCATGCTCTGTTCCCATAAACTTCTGAGCCTGATTTTTGTTGTGTGCACTTCGAATTGACAATTTATTAAGCGGCTCGATTTGTGTCTTGCAAGATAACATAGAAACAGAGACTCGATTTGTGTGTACACTTCATCTAATACTCAAAAAGAAGAAGTTGTGAACTCATTGGAACTTTGTTCAGAGCCTATAAGCTGGGAATTCATCGGAAATTTATTCAGAACCTCAGATTAACTTTTAAGAATTGGAATTTTTCTTACACAATTGACTATCATGAATTATTTTAGACATTCTCGATTTACATCTTCGACACGTTCAAGTTACATCAAATTTTGCTTAAAGTTACATTTCTATAAGTGTGAGTTACATGTCAACTGTCATCAGCAAGTTACATCATGTTTACATATGATTTACATTTTTCATAATACGAGTTACACCACAATATAATGCGAGTTACACAATTCAATAAACCTCTGCTACTCAAAGAAAAATTAATTTTATAAAAAATCATTTTTGTAGCCTTGATATATTAGAAACAAAACATATACACTATTTTTGTAAAATAATTGAACAATTAGACTTCTTTTTTTATCATTGTTTACATTTAAATCAAAGTTTACTTACTATGTATTTGACAAAGTTACATTTCAACTGGACTTGAGTTATATTGATCAATATATTAGTTACATTTCTTTAGATACCCGTGGGGTTGCCGGTGGCGGACCAAAAGGCCTTGCTATCGAGTACACTGTAATTCGCGAAATTGGGGATGAACAGTAAGAAGTGGGGTTGGCAGTGGCGTCACGGAGAAGATGCTCGCATCCTTTCTTCGGTATCTACCTCCTTTGCGCCATCATAGCCCTCAATGCGCCGGTGGCGGAACAACCTATGCTACGCCCCCTATTCCCCTCCCCATTCCCTAGTAACCATCTCTCATCTTCAATCGGCTTCCTCAACTTCTCAGGGGCAGGGATTTCCCGGAGAACCATGTCCAAAGCTCGTGTCTACGCGGACGTCAACGTGCATCGTCACAGGGATTTCTGGGATTATGAATCATTCCATGTTCAGTGGGGGTAAGTAATGCATTATCCGATTTGTACACCCTAATTACGGTTCATTACTTTCCGTTGGGGTGCTATGTCGTGATTTTCTCAAGAAAGCAAGTTTGAGAATGATCTAATTGACACTTTTCTTAACTGTGGCTATTATCATGAATGTGAAGTCTTCGTATTATTATTCCAGTGATCAGCGTGACTACAAAGTGATTCAGAAAGTTGGAAGAGGAAAATACAGTGATGTATTTGAGGGAATAAATGTCAATAGCAACGAGAAGTGCATAATTAAGGTTCTGAAGCCCGTTAAGATGAAAAAGGTTGGACTACTAACTTTTATCTCTTGTTGGGGATGAAAAAGGTTGGACTACAGTGACGACACTGAGTCGTATTGGATCATTTGGATGGCTACTTACTATTGGTCCGTTTGATTCTAGGTGAACCTAGGTTCTTATGTGGAGCATGTTTCCTTTTAAGCTCATCTCATTTGTTTACTATTTAATGACAAGAACCTATGTTCTTAGAGACTCATGTTCTGGTCTCTCATGTTAATTTAGCATTATTCTCTTCATTAGCTTTGGGGAGTACTTATTACCTTCCCACTTTAGAGCATGTAATCCTTTTTCTTTATCAATAAAAATGTTTTTTCTTAAAAAACCTATGTTCTTAGAGACTCTGAATTAGATGTTTCTGGAAGTTAAATTCTCTTTATAAGAAATTTTAACATTTCACTTGCCTTAACCTCATAAGTATGGAGTAATAATTATCCAAAAAACACCTATTATATATGCACTTGGATTCTTCATAGCAGTGGCGGATCTAGAAATTAAACCTGTTGGGGGCAAATTCAATACAAAAATATATCAAACAAAAAAAATAAAGTGAAGCAAAATTGTCCTAGATAGGAGTAAACATGTTTTGGAATTTCAAAATAAAATGGATTTATTTTTCAAGAAATATGAATCATTACTGCCATGATTGAAAAATACTTCTAATTAACTAAATATTGTCGTGTTAATATGTAGTACTGCAATTATTTGACAATACTTACTCCAAGATGACAGGACACATTGTCACATTGTCACGTTGTCTTATTTCGGAAAGAAAAACATAGCAATTCTATTTTAGATTACAAAATCTATTTACACTTATTTCAGGAACTTTCCCTAAAGTGAAACACATGAGGGGAAAAACCCTTAACAAAGAAATCCACAACTGCTCTAATTAAGATAGTTTTCATTTTATGAAAGTTATTCTTCATTGTTTTTTTGTATATAAGATATAAGATCTTCACTACTTACATAGAATCATCCTGTTAAATATTACATTGGTGATAGATCAATTCAAGAATTAAAAATGAAACTAATATGTTGTTTTTTTGTTTTAAATACTAAGCTTTTCAAATTTTTTTTATTTTCCGTTAAATATCTAAAATAGCATGCCACTTTTGTTTTTTATGATTTGCTTACTACTTTAATAACATTGTTATCCTAATTTTGTAGACTATCTTAATTATCGAAATAAAATTTTATCTACATTTTGTTGGCTGCTTGTCAAATTGAATTTACATATAATAAATTTAGATTGACTACCTAATATTCTAATAACACTTTCACCCTAGTAACATATTTTCCAAGCTAGTTAACTATATTAGATAAGTTAATTTGGATAAATATATTATTGGTATTATTACATAAAAATGCATTTAAAGTGCACACGCCTTTCAAAGTATGTCTGTAACTACTAACTAGTTAAAAAAAACTTAAAACTTTGGAATTTCAGCCTCTCAAATTCTCAATGATATGACTCAATTGCTTCTTTACTTAGACCTCGGGAGTACAAAGAAAATGAGCAAATTAATAGAGTCAAGAACGTTTATTTGCACACTTCGACTCTTCGGCCATCCCTTGAATATCGGTGCTCCAAATGCACACATTGTATGCTTTCTCCAGCTTTATTTTTGGGATAAGGTTATTGGGGGCAAACATTTGATTTTCTTATTTATATATATTTGTCATAATGTATTCTATGAGATAAGTGGATCTTTATTGGGGGCACCTGCCCCCCCTCCTTTCAACGTAAGTCCACCCCTGCTTCATGGTAATCTGATTTTTACTAAACTTAGGTTCAGTTAAATTCGCCAGGTTTGCTTAAGTTCACTCTACGCCAATGGACTGTTATAAGTGTTTAAAGTTAATTCTTCTTCTAGTGTTTACAGAAAGGATAAATGCAGAATAGAATTACATAATATTCTTGTTAAGAATGCTACATTTTTTCTTTCACGTTTCAGTTTCATCATTTGTGCTTCTCTTGTTTTATATTTTAAATATATGTATTGAACTCTGAAATGGCATGTGAAGTGTGGCTTAAGATTGGTTTACTATAATTATCCCACATAGATAAAGAGAGAGATCAAGATATTGCAAAACCTTTATGGTGGGCCAAATATTGTCAAACTTGTCAACACAGTCAGAGATCAGCATTCCAATGTTCCAAGCTTGATATTTGAACATGTGAACAGTACGAATTTTTCAGTGCTACACCCCACATTAACCGACTACGACATAAGCTACTACATGTATGAGCTTCTCAAGGTAAATGGTAAAAATCCATTGGTTGTCTTTTAGTAAAGAATGAGTGATTTCATAGTTGTGAAGAAATTTTTTAATTTGACACTTGTAGAAGAATTATGAACGTTTTTTAATTCTTAATGAAACTGCAGGCATTAGACTATTGTCATTCACAGGGAATTATGCATAGAGACGTGAAGCCTCAAAATGTTATGATAGACCATGTGTTGCGAAAGCTTTGGCTGATTGACTGGGGGCTTGCTGAATTTTATCACCCTGGAAAGGAGTATAATGTTCGCGTGGCTTCAAGGTAAAAAGTAACCATTAAGGGTCTGTTGGGATGGTTGGGGGGTTGGAGCGCTACACTTTATCTTGATGTATACTTCATCATCTTCATGCTTAATATATCTTTCAAAAATTGAGAGAATAACATAATAGGTGATCAGATAATATGTCATCCACTCTTTATTGATCTCTAAAAAGATTTTACTTATCAAGATATGGAGTAAGCCCAAGTCCTTCGCCCCCCCTCCTAACTGGCTTAATGGCCCTTGTGGACCACTAGCTTTTCACTGGATCACTTCAGTTATGTCATTGTATCTTGGTGTGTACATAGTAAAGTGACTGAAAATGGATATATTGGTCTCTTCAGAGGTTCGCAGGGAAGTTGAAATGAAAGGATAGAGAATGGGGTAGCCAGTAAGAAATCCATAATAGAGTCCAACTACAATGAGTCAATGACTGAATTTATTACCTTCAAGAATTAATTAGAACCCATAAAGTTACTCCCTCCGTCCCATTTAAACGTTCCCACGTGGTTTACGATGTTTGATTGAGCACAAAGTTAACTGATCCCTGTCATTAGTAGAATTATTTTTAGTAAATAAAATTTATATATTCAGAAACTACATTAAAATCGCTACAAAGCCTGATAAAAAAAATTAAATTTGATAAAAGTTGGATATATAAAGTAAAAGATTAATAACAATGCACATTGACAGGAGAATAGTGGACGGGAACCTTTAAATGGGACGGAGGGAGTATTTCCTTTTTTTTTAAATTTAAAACAATAAACCAATGAGCCCTTAGCTTTTGAAGTGAGCTGAATCATGTCTATCCAGCAATTTGTTCAATGGACTAAACATAAAAACACAATTTATCTACAAAGAACTGAAGAAGAAACTGTAGCTTATGTTTTCCCTCATGTTGGTACTACCGTACTACGCTATCATTTTAAGCTGTTTTGCCTACTGAAGCCATCATTGTATTATGATTGTACAGGTATTTTAAGGGTCCTGAACTTCTGGTTAACTTGCAAGACTATGACTATTCTTTGGATATGTGGAGCTTAGGCTGCGTGTTTGCAGGAATGGTAAAGAAGTGGAGTAAATAATTTATGATTTGTTTCTTTTTCTAAAGAACATCAACAACATCCAAGCGTTATTCCCAAAAGAATATTTTTTAAAGAATAAAAGAAAAAATTATTACTTCTAGTTCTACCTGATTATCTTTACTCTTTATGCAGATCTTCCGCAAAGAACCTTTCTTTTGTGGACATAATAATGAAGACCAGCTTGTCAAAATTGCCAAGGTATTTTGGTTGATAAACCATAATCATGGTTTATAAAGTTGGTTAAATAAAAGGGCGCGATATTAACCTGTGGATGGAGTGTTTAGATGTGTTAGTAAGTAGTAACACTTCCCTTAATAACATAACTCAACACTCCATCCAAATTAGAGGACTTAAATCCTCTTTTGTAAAAGTTATTTGGCTGATATGAGGTAGCATCCAGTTTAACCATATTGTTAAAAAAAGCTACTTATTTTTCCTTGTTATGACCATCAAAGGAAGTAGATTATGGGGCCTTAATTTGGTAGCAGATACTATAAGATTTAGCTAATTTGATATCTGATGGACTGAATGCCTCATTTTAAGGTCCTTGGTGCAGACGGATTGAATGCATACTTGCAAAAGTATAATATAGAGCTTGATCCTCATCTCATGACCAAGGTTGGGAGGTATGGTATTTTCTTTGTCAGAAGTTGTGCACTTTTTATTTTTATTTTCTAAAAAAGTTTATGGGGAGTTATGTGACCTGTTCAGGGACAGCAGAAAACCGTGGTCTAAATTTGTGAACACCGATAATAAACATTTAGTATCACCTCAGGTAACGTTTTGAGTCTTTTGACCCAAAAGTTAAGTTATTATTAAAAGAAGAACAAATGTGCATCTGAACTATATGCCAGACGCCAAATATACCCCTCAAATTTCTTTTGGAACAATTTAACTCAAAAAATGTAAAGTTCGAACAACCACACCCCTATGTCGAATATAGGACCAACTGTTCTCTGTTATATAGTTCACATCAAGGATGTATTTGTTCCGACTACAAATTTTGTGTTCATTGCTCTAAAAAAGTTCAGTGGTATATATTTTCTTTCGCTTATAATTCAAGATACTCCCTATTTGTTCTCTGTAATTATTTTAAAGCTTTTTACTTGGAACTTTATTTTATTGATGTTGAGGTTAACATACAGGGCATTGACTTTCTTGACAAGCTTCTTCATTACGACCATCAGGACAGGCTGACTGCGAGAGAAGCTATGGTAGTCCTAGTATCCTACCTGCTTATGCCTTATGAACTCTACTAATTTCCCATCATTTTTGAATTTCATCTTAAATAACGTCTTAGAGCATGGATCTGTATCGTCATTAATTAACACACATATTTTGCAACTCTGTAGTCCCACCCTTATTTCTTGCAAGTGAGGGCTGAATTGTGAATTGTGAAGCTCAATCATCTGGTCTTCCCTCGGTCAGTCTGAATTGTGAAATACCATTGAAATACTTCTAACAATTTGCTTTGACTGCCCTGGGATTTTATGAGTTACAACGCATTATTTGCATACGGAGCCATGTGGTATGGCCATATGGATGATTTTCTGGGCTGGACGTACCAGCAAGCGTCAATGGCGGTCGGCTGCAAAAAAGAACTGGTCGAGCAAGCTGAGAAATCTGAGAAGTCCAATAAAGTGCTTCACTTGGAAACTGAGATTGAAATCTGATGGAAAGTCCAATAAAATAGTCTCACTTGGGAACTTAGATCATAAATTTTATTAATGCTTATTTCCTAGTAATAGTTTTGGTATGTCTTTCCTTTATTCTGTTGTGTGCACTACAATCATGTTTTCTTTTTATGCTGAAGACTCTTGTAATAGCTATATGAAGGTCTCTTATAGTCATACTCTTGGTATATGGTGGAGTATATGGATTTGCACATTTATTGGGCTTTAACTATTTTGAGTTGTTAGTCAGAAAAAAGAACTATTTTGAGTTGATAAGAATTGATATACCCGGACGTAGTCGTTTAGTGGAATTTCGGTTCTTAAAAACTTATAGATAAACCGAATCTACTCAGAGTTTGCTCATCCCTTGTGTCTAGTGCACCCTTGATTGATGATCCATGTAGGGGTGGATTCGGGCCGGGTCGGGCCTAGGCCCGGGCGGGCCGGCGGCGCTGAATAGGTGGACCTGGGTCCGGGCCGGGTAGCCATCGGGTTCGGTCCGGGCCTCGGGCTTAGTTATTTATTTTTTTGCTTACCTACCTATCCCTGACCCTCCCTCCACCCCCCAAACCCCTCCTAAACATCAAGCCCAACCTAGGTGGAGCCCAAAAAAATGAAAAAAGAAAAACATCAATTTGGCCCGAACCGGGCTCGGGCCTGGCCTGACCGGGCCTTCTTTTTACCAACCCGAGCCTGCCCTGCTTAGCCTAAATAATCGGGCCTTAGACTGGTTTTGGGCCTGAAGAACTGGGTCGGTCCGGTTCCGCATAGTAGCAGGCCGGGTGGCCCGAACCGAGTCCACCAATAGATCCATGTGTCTCCATAGGATTTTAAGGTATGGAAAAGCATTATCGTAGAGGTGTGTTTTAATTTTCAATTCTCATTAAGAATAATATATGATGGCAATTATTAATTTTTTCTTTTCCTCTTTGTCTCTACTTGGAACATTAAAGCCATCACTAGTACAAATGCATAAATATTTCAAGAAAATGCATAAATATTAGGGATAGTTGCAATTTGATGTTCTAACAATACAAATGTTCAACATGAAATTTAATTATATTTCAAAGTACAATTACTTATTACGTAATTTTCTTATGAGATATATTTTTGAAAGAACAATTATTGTGATATGAAATAAGAGGTATTTGGATTTGTTTCTTAAAATCATTTTGATCTTTTAGGAAGCATAAGTAGGTATTAGAATGTTTGAGTGGAAGGCTACAAATGCTTTTAAATGCTCCAGATTGGTTCTTGAAGCAATTTTTAAGATGATGTGGAAGATAAACTGCTACAAAATTGACTCTGCTTTTTAAAGAGAAGCATAAACATAATAAATTCTAAACACTCCTAAATTGACTACACAACTTGTTATGTAAGGATGTTTTTATTTGAACTAAAATTTGCTAGTCTGGTTTGATTTGGTCTGATAAATGTCTGGTCTTTGTGTATTTTATAACTATGAAAGTTTGGTCTGATATGTTTTAGCCTAGACTGAATATTGTTCAAGTATAAACATCCTAAGTCTTAAACTAAATACGAGTAAATATGTGTTGAAATTCTAAAATTTTCTCATTAATGACAGTAAATATTGTCAATTTATGTCTAGTACAGTAACTATTTTGACTATACTGAGTAGTGAATCTAAGATGGAAATAAATACTATCATACTACTTCTATTTCGATAAGAGAGACATAGGAGTTCTATTTTGAAATTTCAATACTTGTTTACTCATTTTTGGGTAAGAATAATACGTGATGGTTGCAAGCTTAACTAATTCATATATAGAATATTTCTATTCCCTCTCCAATGACCGAACCTTAGCACCCACGCATCTTCATGATCTTGCCTGGCGCGCCGGTGCATCAGCAGCTTGACAAGGCTTTAATCTTGTGCTACAGTAATTAAGGTTTTCTCATTGTTTGGGATTTCTTTTCGACTTATTTTCTGCTCATTTTTATTTTGTTCGACCGAGTTTTCTCTGGCCGAGGGCTTGGTTCGTTCCAATTGTGAACGTGTTTGTGCTTTTGTTCGTGAATTCTACTTCTTTTTCTCTGTCTCGGACTCGATGTTCATTTCGTTGGCCATTAATGAAGAGATTAAATCAGGCTTATTAAGGATGTCACTGAAAGAGGTTGATTTCCAGGGATAAAAAAACGGCAAGGAGGCGATGCTCCTTGAACAACACCGCCTAAAAGACAGAACAACCCCGTAAACGATATGGTTCCTATGGAGGTGACTGGTCAACTATCTTCTTTCTTTCCATTGGCTGCTAAAATCGGGATGCTTCTATTGGAGGTGGATGGACAAACCTCTTCTCCTTTCCCGATGGCTGGTAAAATCGGGACGTTTGAATTTTTTTGTTATTTTTGTATACATAATTCTTGTTTAGTTATCTCCCATTTTAGTAGCAATTCAGAGATACTTTTAGATTAGACTACCATGATGCGGGGTCAGTGAATTTGACAGATCCTCAGATGGTAGTCAATTTTATATCTCGTTTCAGTGCAACTTTAAACTATTGTATTGTTTTGTCTCTTGTTACTCTCATTATTAATAATAATTAAGTCTTCTTCTTTCAAAAAAATAATGGTTACGATCTTTCCAGTTTCAACTATGAACCTGCCTATGTTTTGGCGTTAGGTGGACGAATTACCAGAAAACAAAATAATTATGAGGCCAATGCCAATTTGATTTCGCAGCACCCTTTTCATATACCACAATAAACGTACATGATGGAGTCCTCTCATCTTATCTTATAATGGGTCCCTGGCAACTGGCAACTGGCAAGTAGCAACCAGCAAGCCCCTTTGGTTCATGCGTTTTGCCGATAGCTAGGGGTGTTCGCATCTACCTTTTAAAACTGTTTTTCTATTTCACGGAGCAAAAACATATACTCCGTATTTAAGTATTTATAAATTCTTATAAATAGGAGCAAAAATGTTTTGAAATTCCAAAATAGGAGTATTATATTTTTTACTCCTTGAAGATGAGTAATCTACCAAGTTTGGGAAAAAATGCCATGTTTTAAAGCATAGTAATGCCAAGTTTGGCAAAAATTTACTTCTATTCAAGGAATAAAAAACATGATAGTTCTATTTATAAATTTTAAAACTTATTTACTTCTAATTAAGGCTGTGCAAGCCTGACCCTACCCGAATGAACCGACCGGATTTATCCGATTTTTGGACTATGAAATGGATTACCCGACCCGAAATTACCCAACCCGAACCGGAAATGGCCTTTGGGTAGATAGCGTGTAGCAAGTAGGGTTTGAAAATTGCCTACCGAACCGATTCAGTATATCACTGAACCGACCCGATATTTCGATTAACCGAATTATCAAAACCGATTTTCGGTTCGGTTTAACGAAAACCGAACAACCGACTCAACTGTAATAAATAAATTTGAACTAATATTCAATAGACTAAAGCCGATTGGAACTTGTCCATATTTGAGCCTAATTAGCCCAACGGCAGCCTAGAACGTATCTTAGCAGCCAACACTAAGGGGACCTAGTTTATATTGAAGTTTTTGGAGTAGGTAGCTATTATACGCTGGCAAGAATCGATCCCAAGACGTTTCACTAAAGATAAGCACCGACTGATCAACTCCGCTACCCGTCACGCATGTGCAAATCATACTCGATTTAATATTATACCTCTATTAACGTCATTAATTATTATTATCATTATCATTATTATTGTTATTGTTATTGTTATTGTTATTGTTATTGTTGTTATTATTGTTATTATTATTGTTATTATTATTGTTATTATTATTGGTATTATTATTGGTATTATTATTGGTATTATTATTGGTATTATTATTGTTTTTATTATTACTATTATTATTACTATTATTATTACTATTATTATTACTATTATTACTATTATTACTACTATTACTACTATTATTATTACTATTATTACTACTATTATTACTACTATATTACTACTATTATTACTACTATTATTATGACTATTATTATGACTATTATTATGACTATTATTATGACTATTATTACTACTATTATTACTACTATCATTACTACTATCATTACTACTATTATTACTACTATTATTACTACTATTATTATTATTACTATTATTATTACTACTATTATTACTATTATTATTATCATCATCATCATCATCATCATCATCATCATCATCATCATCATCATCATCATTATTCTTATTATTAATATTAATATAAATAAAAATTATTATTATTAATATAAAAATGTCGGTTCGGTTCGGTTCAAACTGATATTTGTGCACATAAACCGAATCCGAACAATTTTTTTTCGGGTCCCAATTATTGGGTCCCAATTTCGTTGGTTCGGTCCGATTCGGTTTTTTCTAAAGCGGTTCGGTTTTTTTTACGGTTCGGTTTTCGGTTTTTTGAGCCGATACATATGGGTCACTTTCCTTCGAACCGTAAATGCCACCTTCTCTTTTTCATTTCTTCGACTTCTCTATATCTCTCTAAAATCTGATTCTCTCAGACTTGGCTGTCGTGGCGCCGTTATCGGCTTGCCGCCATTGCCGTCTGAATATCCAACATATTTCTTCGTCGGCCGTCAGAGCCGATTGAGTACTTCACTTCTCTAGTTCTCTCTTCGTCTCCGACGTACATCTCGGTTCATAACTTCATATTATGTCTGTCTTAAAGGTTGATACTTGATATGTTGGTTTCTCTTCATCTGTTGCAATACATCCGAGTTCTGAGAAAGTGAGAAGTGATAGACGAACGTTCTTTGTTCTGTGGTGGTGGTCCGGTGGAAGCCCATAGTTCGAATCTCCGCCATTCTATGAGTTTTCTCTCACTTAAAATAGATTGTAGTAAAGCGTAGAAGTACGAGTATCGTCTCCACAAGGACGGTAAAAGAGAATTAAGAATTAAATAAATTCAGCGATTAAAAAGAAATAAAATAAATGCGATGTGCGAGATTGATTTATTGGAAAATTAAACTGCAAACAAAACGATTAAAGTAAAGGGTTCTCTCTAATTAATGACGATAGGGAACAAGGATTAATTCCGGGGTAACCAGATTTTTGGCTGATCAGGCTTAATCACATGAAATTAATTTAATCGAGTCTCGCTAATCATTACTAAGTTCTTACCGCTCTTTCATCTCTCATGCGACATGATCCTAATATTAATGTCAGAACGAGCGAGCGTACGACCCCTTAATCGTTACTAATCTCTTAGCGAGCAGTTAAGTGTGTTTGAAGGCGTCCTAGAATAAATTAGATCTC